ACAGGTGCACCGTGCTGTGGCATATTTTCCATCATCGGCTTCCTCTTGGATGCTTTATTGGGGGTGGGAGGGAGGAGAGCTTGACGGCATGGGCCCTTGGGGTCGGTCAGGAAAAAGGCGCAAAGGGAAGGTTTCGGGGCGCCGCTTGGACCTGATGAAATTGGAAGCCGTCCTGTCCCATCAATGCGACTCGGTGGAGCGGACGGCGGTCGCTTTTTTTTTGGACGAAGGGGCCTTCCTCGGACACATTCGAGGCCTCCGTCGGCTCTTGCTGGGCGCGGGGTGTGCCCTGACCTCGGAGTTTGTCTCCCTTTTGCAGACTCGCCAGCAGGAGGAAGCTGCGCTGGAGGGCCCGCGACCGGCGGATGTGTGGCCCGCCTTCGAGGCGGCGGTGTCGGCCTTGGGCCTGGAGAGCGATGCCTACCTGCGGTGTTTCTCGTACCGGCTCCGACGCCGGGTGGACGTCCGGGCTGGGCAAAGAAGCAGGGGCATGGCAACGGGGGAGCAGGGAGATGGAGAATATGGTAGCAGTTGCACGGATGGGGAGGGAGGGGAAGGACTGGGCGCCCTGGAGGACCTCGACGCCGACTACCTCCCTCCCTGGCCGTTGGGAACCGTTTTGCCACAGACCACCATCCAAACCTACGTGCGGGTCCACGAATTGTTGCTGCGTGTGCATTGGTCTTTGCAACGGGTGCAACGGACGCGGGAAAGTGTCCGGGTGGCGCTCAAGCACATGGGGAGGGGCGAGGAGGCAAAGGGGAAGAGGAGCGCGCCCCGGCCCTCGGGAGAGCAGGGCTCCGTGAGGAAGGAGAAAGGCGTGTTCGCCCTCCGTTGCGCCCATGTCTTGCTCTATCGCCTCTCCCTGGTCGCATCCGCTTTCCTTGAGCACATGGCAGCCGTAGTGGATGGGCTGGGATGGCGGGCCTTGGAAGGGGCCCTGGCAAGGGGTGTCCCCCCCCCTCCCTCCTCCCTCCTCGACGCCGTCGCCTCCCCCCACGAAAGCCTGGGAGGGACCAGAGTCGAGGGGGATGGGGAGGGAGGGAGGCAGGCGGAGGCAACACACGGCCTGACGGTGGAGCGGTTGCGGGAGATGCATGCCGCCTACATCCGAGACGTGGCCACCAGATGTTTTGTGGACCCGGACGGGGGGGTGAAGGGTGAGGGCGACAGGGAGGGTGGCAAGGCGGGAGGGGAGGACGCAGAGGCCCCGCTGCCGTCATTGCAGGCAGAGGTAACTTCCTTGATGACGAGCATGGGCCACGCCTGCTCTCAGGTAGAAGGCCACGTCTTCCGTCTTGTGTGGCACAGGGACAGCCGGGAGCTGGGGGCTCGAGGGCGCCGACATGCCGGCAGCATGGGGGAAGGCAGGGAGGGAGAGGCGCCGGCAGGAAGGGAGGCACAGGACGTGCTGCGGGCCGTCGCGCATGCGCAGCACCGTCTGAGGCATCGACTCTCCAGGCTCGCCGACAGACTCCGTGGTCAAGGGAGGGAGGACGTTCGCCGCAGTTTTGAAAGGGAGGTGGGTGGGAGCGGGAGGAGAGGGAGTGAGTTTTGCGCGTATCTAGCGGACAGGCTCGAGGACATATCAAGAGCGGGGGGCGGATAGAGTCGAGGGGGAGGGGTGGTGGTTCAGCGGCGTCTTCCCGCCAAACAACATGGCAATGTACATGAAAGAAATGGAGCGAACGGATTGACAGGATTGTTTTGGCGAGTTACTTTGCGTTCCTTGAAATTGTCAATTTCTCGCTTTGTTCTAAAATTTTATGATACAGGCCACGGCCTCTCGGGCCAGCGGCTTTCGACATGAGGGCTCCCCCCCTTAAAGGCCCCTCGGGTCTCCGACAAAGGCTATACAGTGCCATCACGGTGCATGGCAGCGCGTTGCTTCCGTCCCCGAACTCCATCATGCCTGAGCCCCGCCCCCCATTTGGCGGGCTCTCCGCTGCCGTTAAGCGGACTTCTCCCGTTTCACCGGCTCCCCTTCCGGATCCCGGGAGTCGCCACAGGGGGATGCCATCGATGACGACGCCTCGCCCGTCTTGCTCTGCTGTGCCCTCCGTCGCATGCCCTGCATCCATCCCCGAAACCAGTAGAGATGTAACACCCAGACCCCTGCGACTGGCGGCCAGAGGGCGCCCCGGGGGGCGGGAAGGCTATAGAGCTTCAGGAGCAAGTAGAGATGATACACCACTCGAAAGAGAAGGAAAAGGCACCCGAAGGCCCAATCTGACCTCAAGCGAGGGAAGAGCCGACCTCCCGATAGAAAAATGGAGGAGGATTCCATGATCAACGTGTGGGTAAAGGAAATGGAGTACCCCTTCATGTAGGCATAGCCCAGAAACAGCGCGTAAAAAATATGGTGCACCCAGCCGCTCAGCAACCCGAATTCTCCTGGATATTCAAAATAACCAACAGCCATGTCTACGATCAAGTACACCCAAAACAGTGTCAAAACGCTGCGAGAAAAAGCGTCCGTGTCAAGCATCTCCGAAGCATCCCACTCCGGCGAAAGAGCACGCGACAAATAATACACGCCCAATGGGGTCGATAGACAGGAGATAAAGAAAGAGAGGAACCAGGCCTTTTGCTTTTGGGAAGGACCCTGTCCGTCTTTGCTGGTCTGGGTGAAATAGGAACACATTGCCTGGTACCAGCAGAGGAGGACGACGGAAAAAAAGACTACGGTGACCAGTACATCCCACCAATTTACAATTATTCCAACCTCTCCAAACATCATTGACAATGTTTTTATCATCGGATAGATGCTAGCGGTGGAAATATCTCAGCACCAACGTATAGCTCTGCGCGACGCGACGTAAGTTCCGGCCCACGACCAAAAATTCCTTTTTAAAAGCTTTAAGCTGTGCTTTTAAGGCCTTGTTGTGGCCACACTGAAATATTTGCTGCTTTAACGCTGGTGGTGGTACAAATCTTCGCCTATTAGGAAAATATAGATTGGCTAGATGCTGAGATTCGGACACGTACGTCGACGACTGTAGATAGACACTTCGAGGGTTTGTGCGACTTAAATGGACGACCTAATCCACAAATAGCACACGTCTTGCTCTTTTGAAACCTCGAATAAGTTGACAAAGGCGGGAATTTGTTGTGCATGCGGGGGTACCTCAAAGCTGAGTGTGCCGGCGGAGTCCGGGTTAGGACTGGTCGTGAGTTGCAGTCAGAGAGCGATTGGCGAGCAAGAGAACTCAGGCGCTGGCGGACGCCCAAAGAACCGGGCAGGCCGAAGCTGTCACAACCCGGGCTTCCCTACACACGGTCGCACTATGGGGACGAACCCATCCGAGCGACGTGGTGCCCGCAATGGATGGGTTTCTTGTCGCGTTGGCGGGCACATGATGGATTATTGGGGGCGAGAGCGAAGCTGAATCTTGCCGTTTCAGGCATCCCCTCCGATACTCTGAACCCATTGCCCCTCCATGCACAATATGACCAATCCTCACCTATCACACGACTAACTTACGCACAGGGCATTGTTTGATACCTTGGACTGTCCATCTTGATTGCCAGGGTCGCCACCGGGGGAAGGGACGTCGGCGCGCAGGTTCTAACGGGTTGCCAAGAAGACAGCGAGTCTTTCGTGTGCGCGCGTTGGAAGTCAAGACCGACGCGTTTGAAAGGAGGACAAGCAGGAGAGGGCAATGGCGCTACCATGCACGAC